TTTCTTCTAAATATAGTGATGCTAATATGTATATTTCTTAATTGTAGTAAGTATTTATTTTTGGATAGAAGCTTCCTGACCAAGACAGGAGAGCTTTAGATAAATCAAAGTCTTCTGCTCTGAGGGAAGTGGATGGACTTGACATTAGCCATTGCACCGTAGTTTCATTAGCTGTAAAATATTGACCTCGTTGAACTGTAGTTCCGAGTGAAACTGTAAATTTGCCTGAAATTGCCTGGGCTGTAAGATAATTGAAACCTCAGCAGCCCTGGCCATGCGACACGAAAATTGCAGGAGATGAACCAGCCTTTGGACAGAAAATGCAACACATGCCTTTGTTGTCTCTTCCTTTTTCCTCTCAGAAGTCCATTTATTGAGATCCATTTTCTTCAAGTGCTTTTAAGAGTTAGCAGCAGTGAAAAATTTAACCTCTCCTTTTCTGATCTTGAGACTATGATGCTGATTTTCAACTTTCCTAAAAGGCAGTTTGTTTTTTGAAATTTAGTTCTATAGAAAAAGCCGACTTGTTCCTTCCCCTAATACAAACGGTCTAAAGAGAGAGAAATCCTAGCAATCAATTGAGCAGAAATGAGTTGGAGAAATAGCCTTTCCCTGAGGAAATGCGGGAAATGCCAGGAAGGTAAGGTGGCGCATTAAAGGAATCATTGAGATAATTTATTTTATCCCTGTACTATATTTTCTTAACCTTCAAAACTATTGAATAGGTTCAGTATAGTGAAAGATCAATGATAGGAAGTGAATGCTGCTAGTATCAGATTTTTGTACCCACATTCTCTCTTTTGTGGGATTTCTGGAGACCTAAGAGAAAAGCCAGTTTGTCCTTCCGATAACTAGGCCTGTGCCGTAATAACAAACGCACAGTATTCCCAAGAGCTAGTAGACAGCAGCCTAAGATTCAATTGTGCAACAGGATGAGTCAGTGGAAAGTAAACAGAATAGCCTTGTGCCGTCAAAATGTACTGGACTTTGGAATCACTCCCGATGCTGCGACTTCGCTTCTCCCATGTTTGTTATTTGGACCTGAGTCCAATTACTGAACAGCAATGTCTAGTCTTCAGTGTCTTTGCCTGTTAAAAGGTGATGCTAGTCCTATCAAGGGTTGTGACAAGGTTTAAAAGAAGCGATGAGTGTTTATGTATTACCCCTCTGTGTGTGTGTTTTAAGTTCAAAGTGTTTTCCAAAGGTAAAGATGCAGTGCAAAATAAGTTAAAAAATGAACTGAAGTAAGGAAGATGAAGGTAGAAAAGTAGGCTGTGACTGAACACAGTTTGTTCACAAAGCGTGCATCATACTAGCTGATATGGTGGAATTATGTTTGAACAGTGCTACACAGCCAGAGGTGATTTTGTTCCTCGGACGCTTGACAATGTGTGCAGACATTTGGGCTGTCACACTGGGGGGAAGACACACTCCATAATGAAGACTTGCCGTCGGCGTTGGTGGTATAGTGGTGAGCATAGCTGCCTTCCAAAATGAAGACTTGCCTAGCCCAGGTGCCGGGATGGGACAGTCTGCCAGACAACATGCGAATGCGCTTACACCTGTTTCCCCTGGCACTAAGTGACGGTTACAGACTTTGGAAGAGGGGGGTAGTTCTGAGGACTGAAGCTGTCCCAGAAGCTTCCAGAGAGTAGACAGAACTTGAGCTGAGCTGTGAAGGATCGAGAGGAAAAGTAAAAGACGTGGAGGACGAGGGAGTGGGTAAAGACTGAAGTCACGACAGCAGAGAAGGGCAATGCCCCTCATTTCAAGATGACAGATTGAGCCCTTTCTGAGTAGCCCCCGACCAATAGGAACCCACTGATAGGCTTTTTTAAATAACTAAAACTTAATAAATGTATAAAAATACAGTCATAATTAATCGTAAGAATTGGGCTCATTAGTGGATCAGATATTGGTTGATTTTTTTTTTTTTTAATCCTCACCTGAGGATATTTTCCCATTGATTTTTAGAGAAAGAGACAGAGAGAAACAGCGTCAGAGAAACACATCAATTGGTTGTCTCCTGCATGAGCCCTAACCAGGGCTGGGACCGGGGAGAAGCCTGCAACTGAGGTACACGCCCTTGACCAAAATCAAACCCGGGACCCTTCGGTCTGCAGGCCAATGCTCTATCCACTGAGTCAAACTGGCTAGGGCCAGATACTGGTTGAATTTAACAAAGGAGGAGAGGAGCAAATCGGAAGATAGAATGATTGGAAGCCCATGTCTGTGAGAAAATCCCGTCAGAAGATAAACACATTTGGTCAAGATAAGGATGAAAAGAAATGAGGTCGGTTGCAGGATTTTTGCTTAAAAAGAACACTTGTGGCCGTGACTGGTTTGGCTCAGTGGATAGAGTGTCGGCCTGCAGACTGAAGGGTCCCAGGTTCGATTCTGGTCAAGGGCATGTACCTTGGTTGCGGGCACACCCCCAGTGGGAAGTGTGCAGGAGGCGGCTGATGGATGTTTCTTGATGTTTCTAACTCTCTATCTCTCTCCCTTCCTCTCTGTAAAAAATCAATAAAATATATATTTTTAAAAAAAGAACACTTCTGTAAAGCATTAATTCTCTCTTGTGAGGTCATGGACCATGGACCCTTTTGAGATGGATAAAAACTATGGCTTCTTTCCCAGGAAAAATGCATATGCGCATCTTATTTAACCTCCCATAAAAGCTCAGCATGGTCTCAGAGACTGACAAGCCCCAGCACAGTCAAGTTTACTCTTGTGTGCACAGCACCTTTCCCCCCAGCCAATTAGCAATTCCAAAGTGCAGATATTTTCCCTGTGTTCTTTCAGCTACAGGCTGGGGGGAGCCATGGAAAGTCTTGGCAGGTGGGACAGAGGGAGCCTCTTCCAGGTAGACAGCTCAGCGTCCAGGCACAATCCCAGGCTTAGTCAGACCCTGTTTGGAAACAGCTCCCCATTTGTTCTCTGAGTCTTAGTGGCTCTCAGTGCCTAACCCCTTGTCTTGGTTTCTGTGGGTTGAAATCTAATCTCACTCCTACTGTCACCGTCAATAGAGTAGGAATCTGACCAGTAAAATTCTGCCTGGTAACTAGTCCTTCCACCAATGGAGAGAATTCTGATGCCCACTGCCTGCCCACAGGACTGTTCATTTTGTGCAGCCCCCGGGCTCCCGTCACTGTGCTCCTGCCGTCCACAGGAGCAGCACCATGGCTTCTCCCTGCTTGAACCTCCTGCTGCCTCCTGACCTGGACTGCCCACTGCAGCAGTTTCACCCAGAGGGTCTCTAACTGCCACGTTATTTAATTTTGCACCCAGTTCTGTTTTTATTGGTAATAATAATAGTTGCAGATTTGTCAAGGTCTTACTTTAAGCCAGGTGGTGTGGTGAGCCTCCTTTCGTTCCTTGTAAAGATCCTGTCTTACAGCTAAGGAATCAGAGCACTTAAGAAACTTGCCCCAAATCACAGAGCTCATCCGTTTACTTGAGATTTGAACCCAGGTAGGTCCCTTTGTTCTAACAGCCGTGGGCAAACTACGGCCCGCGGGCCGGATCCGGCCCGTTTGAGATGAATAAAACTAAAAAAAAAAAAGGCCGTACCCTTTTATGTAATGATGTTTACTTTGAATTTATATTAGTTCACACAAACACTCCATCCATGCTTTTGTTCCGGCCCTCCGGTCCAGTTTAAGAACCCATTGTGGCCCCCGAGTCAAAAAGTTTGCCCACCCCTTCTAGAACCACAGCTCTTCACTACTCTGAGATGTCCTTCCTGTGTCTTCCCCAGTGGTTGATTTTTTAAGACCTGGTCCATTTTGTTGTCCCTGTGTTTTTGTAGGTAACTATCATGCTCTGCACAGTTGCTGAGAAGTAAGAAGATGCCTTCATCATTTAAATCAGGATGAATAAAAGAAGGGTGGCCTCAGAGAGAGAGGTTGAGTCAGGAGGGGAACGTGAGAGAGGGATGATGACATACTCTATTTTAAACGTTGCATTTTAGCTGACTGCTGCAAACACAGTAAAAGCTACTTTCAACAAGCGTCTCACCAGAAATGTGATAGGATTCTTAGGAAGGATTTGGCTAATGTAATGTTTAGCAGATTTGCAACAATTGCTATAAGCTCAAAGGGAAGATAGTTTCTGGCAAGGCACTGGGCCCTCCCAGGGAGAGTGGATTATTTTACTTGATGTGCAAAGGCAAGGAAGGTATTAAAGATAGCTACCTTCCTTCCAATATAACAATATAAATAAACAAAAGAAGAAAGATGATTGAGGCCTTCTCTGTTGTATTTCATGGACCTCAGCATGCTGGTAGAAAGCAACACAGAACACATACATTCAGGTTCACAGAAAGTTTAAAGTCGACCTGGCCACTCAACGATCTCTTTCTGTATATTTGAGTGGCCCACCTGTTGGGCTTTTGAAATTTGGAATAATAAAAGAATAACAAAGAAAGAGGCCCTATAGTTTTTGCATGCATTTTCAGGGACTTCAGCTCAGAGCCCTTTAGGATGAAGAGTGCTATCTTGGGCAAACATCCAAAAAACATCTCTGAGGGGGAGCCTTCTGTTTTTGTTTTGGAACAAATCTGCAATTAATCAAAGCATTATTTCCAGTTATAAAATGTTGGAAACAACCTAGAAGTCCAACAAATAGAAACAGATTATTTATAGTACACAAACTTGACAATATATTATACAATATTAAAAATAACTATGCTGCCAATATAACCATATTCAGAAATGTTTATGTTATGTAGAAAATGGATGCCATGTTTTGTTATGTAATAAGCACATGGACATGTAAGCACCTTCAAAAGGGCAGGAGGACTATGAATAGCCACGCAAGTTATTTTGTCTATTGTTTCTCTTATAACAGCTCTTTTACAAATAACAGAAAATGTAATCAAAATTTGCATAACCAAGAAGCCCTCATCACACAAATATGCTCCAGTCTCTGTTCTGTCATAAAAACCCACCAACTTTTCATTTTACTGCAAATATCACGTTACCGTTTTCCTTCTCTCAACAGCCAAGCTTCTTCAAAGAAGTTTCCTTTACCTTCCAGCTTTGTGTTTTGTCCCAATCTATTGAAATCTGCCTGCGCCAAATCACTTCTTTGAAATTGTTCACATCAAGGTAAGCAAAGTTCACCTTGTTGCTAAAAGCAGTTTTCAATCATCTCGCCATTTGATGTTTGGTCATGCCTCCCTGAAGCTTGCAATTCCCAGCTTTTCAGATCTCTATTTCTTTATAGTTCTTCTCGGGTTCCTGGTACTACACCCACTTCTTAATTTTTCCGTTCTTCCAGCTTCATTACCGATTCCCCTTTCTCCATTTCTACACACTGTTTCTGTTGAGCCTTTTCACAGTCAGTATATATTGTCTATGTTCTGGTAAATCCCAAATCTAGGCTTCATCTCCAGAGCTCACGAATAAGTTATCTATTGTGACATTACAAATTACTCCAAAACTTAATGGTTTAAACCACACACACTTATTATCTTTCAGTTGCTGTAGGCCAGGAATCTGAGCACAATTTCATGGGATTCTTTGCTGTGTGACCTCTCAAAGTATGCATGCATCAAGGTACCCACCCATGATCTGCAGTCTCATCTGAAGGCTCAACTGGGGAAGGTCACTCACAGCTTGCAGGCAGTATTCAGTTCCTTGCAGGTTCTTGGATTGAAGTTTCCTGCTCACTGTTGGCCAGAGGCCACCCTCAGTGCCTTATCATATGGCCTCTCCAATGTGACAGTTTGCTTCATCTAAGTGTGCAAGCTGTGAAAGCAATAGAGTGTACTAGTAAAATAGAATTCACAATCCTTATAACCTAATCCTGGAAGAGATATATCCTCAATGATCCCATATTCTATTGGCAGAAGCAAATTAGTCAAGGAGAGAGTATTACAGAAAGACTGAATATCAGAAGATGGGATTGGGACCATCTTAAAGATGCCTATGACCTCGACCAGCATGGCTCAGTGGTTGAGCATCAACATATGAACCAGGAGGTCACAGCTCTCTCACCTCCAACTTATACATAGATGCACAATCCATTAGCAAGTGCAAAATGCACTAATCTGAATACATCGTCTTTTTCCCATCCCCAAAGCGTGCTCATTTTCATCCTTTTAGTTAATGGCATCAACATCCACCGAGTTTCTGAAATCAGAAATGTAGGTGTTATCACTGATTTATTTTTCCTTCTCAGCCACAACATGCAATTAGTCATGAACTTCTGCCAATCCTGATTTTTAAATATCTATGCAATCTGTTGTTCTGCACATGCCTATCTTAAGCTATCATGATCTGTAACTTGTGTGACTGCTATCGCCTCCTAACATACCTTTCCACGTCCAGCCATGCCCTCTTCCAATCCTCACCAGAGCACTGGTGACAGATGTCACGCCCCTGCTTAAAATCTGTAATGACTCCCCATAGTTCAGGAATATTTCAAGGTGGACAGGCTAGTAATGTGGAAATTCACATTCCATAAATCTGTGGTTTTCATAATGCAGGCTACAAAAATGTAAACTCTGCATAATCTTCTTGGATGGGGGTGGGATACGTGGAAGTTGAATGGCAGACATCATGAGGGGGATATCTTTCTACTTGAATAATATCCAAACTCCTTGATAGGAGGTAAATGATTTAGTCTGGTGTCTCAGACATGGGGGATGTAAAGTTAAAAAACAGTTGTATTCGTTTGTAGTAATGGCTGTGGATTGTTCTTTTTTTAAAAAAATATATTTTTTATTGATATCAGAGAGGGAGAGAGAGATAGAAACATCAGTGATAAGAGAGAATTGATTGGCTGCCTCCTGTATGCTCCCCACTGGGGATGGAGCCCACAACCTGGGCATGTGCCCTAACTGGGAATCAGACTGTGATGTCCCAGATCATAGTTGGATGCTCAATTCCTGAACTACACCGGCTGTCAATTGTTCTTTATAATATTATCTTTTTGAAAGCATGAATCCCTTGAAGATATTTCAGTTCTAGCATATAACTTTCCAGGCATTTTCATTTATTAAATGTTCATACTAGGTCTAAGAAATTCAGACCTATTGGTTTTGACATTTTAATCTCTCAGAGTCTCAGTCAGCCCACAGGATGACAATGTAAGAACAGGAAACTGCTCTTGTGCAGGTCCTGGCAGGGCCCACACCTATCAGAACAGGGCTCTAATTTCTTCCAAGACCATGGTTCTAGAGCAGTGATGGCAAACCTATGACACGCGTGTCAGAGGTGACACGCGAACTCATTTTTTTGCTTGATTTTTCTTTTTTAAAAAAATATATTTTATTGATTTTTTACAGAGAGGAAGGGAGATGGATAGAGTTAGAAACATCGATGAGAGAGAAACATCGATCGGCTGCCTCCTGCACACTCCCCACTGGGGATGTGCCCGCAACCAAGGTACATGCCCTTGACCGGAATCAAACCTGGGACCCCTGAGTCCGCAGACCAATCCTCTATCCACTGAGCCAAACCGGTTAGGGCTTGATTTTTCTTTGTTAAATGGCATTTAAATATATAAAATAAATATCAAAAATATAAGTCTTTGTTTTACTATGGTTACAAATATCAAAAAATTTCTATATGTCTCAAGGCACCAGAGTTAACACATTTCGTACCGCTCAGGAGTGTTCTGGTGTTCCGCGCGCCATCTGTTAAGGACCGCTCACGAGTGTTCTCGTTTTTCACGCCCATGGGAAAAAGAGCGGATCTAGATACTTATGTAAATTTTGTTTGGTCCCTCTTCATAGAGGAAAATGTCTTACGCAGTACCATACGTTAAAAAAGTACTAGGAACTTTAATTGTTTAATTGTTTTTGTAAATAAAAATGTTATAATTATTGAAAAACAACACCTAAAGTGCATTATGATGATTTAAATAACGTGCAGTTTGCCCAAAAACGTGCGGTCCCTGGCGTATGTCTTAGAGATTTCTATGCGGTACGCAATGTGTTAAGTTAGAGTTTTTCAAAATGCTGACACACCGAGCTCAAAGGGTTCGCCATCACTGTTCCAGATGCTTAGAATTTAGACATGTGGTCTGCTTGTAACAGACCTCCTCCTTTTTCTAATCTGCCCAGAGGGTGGGAATGATGAAGAGTGAAGATAGCATTTCCTAGTCAGTTGTAACATGATTGGTTGTCAAATATTTCTCTGGCTGTTGTCCCCTGAAGGTGTTGATGCCAGTTCTGAAATGTCTGTCTGGGAGCTGTCTGAGCAGAGGCAGACCTGAATGTGCCAACGATAAGCTGGAGGCCACACACCTGTGCTTATTTCAATCAGTGCTGTCCCTGCCTTCAAGATGTAAGTTACTGGATTCCCTAAAATACATCTCATCCTTAAATTCAGTTTAACTGGATCCATTTCCCAGGCCTGGAAAACAGATGATACTTGTTATCCTAACAGCCCCATAAAAAATGAAATTTGAAAGATGCTGTTTTCACGGGGACACATGAGAAACAACTATAAATCCCCTAAGACTTGGTTTGGCAGAAGTATTTTTCCATTCAGAACCGAGTAGTGTTTTTGGAGCTTGCTGTTATGCTTTATAGCTGGCGGCTGAATTATCCTGGTCTCTGCTGAAAACTCTGGCCTCAAAAGCAGATCTTCAAATATCCTGTGTTAAAAAGGGGATTTAAAACTCCTAATGACTATTTATATGTCAAAAACAAGACATTATATTAACCAGATTATGAGACACTATGCCTGTGAAAATGGCCATAATAATAATGGACAAAATAACTACTCATGAATGGTAGTGTATTGTTTATATTGTTCCTTACAATAACCTGAGATAGGTAGGGCAAGTTTTAATAGCCCATTTTACAGGTGCAAAAACTGAGGTTCGGTGAGCTCAAAAGCCTGACTCAGGGTATTTGGAAAAACCAGTACTTTATCCCACAGCTTAAACCTAAGCCAATTCTTTTTTCATTTTGCCATATCCTTTTCAATGTTTATTTTATGTAACGTAAAGTAGTAGGTTTTGAGTTAATAATTCTCCCTTTAACTGTACCTGACAGAAAAATTATACACCACTGTTGGCCAATAATGACTTGGAGAATTATTTATGCCTTCCTTAGCATGAGTACTGTAACACTACTTTTGAAGGTAAATCATCCTAGCTGTGACTGATCTATTATTATAAAACAGGTGTGGGCTTGGTCGTCTACCAACATGCCCATAAGTGAATATATCCCAGTGCCATAAATTAGGATCACCCATGTTCTTTGTTTCTAGAACACTTATTTTACCTAGGACTCCTGCCTCTATAAACTCACCATCCTCTACTTCATACCCTCATATCATTCGATGCTTTGGGAGCTCCAAAGCCTTCGTTATGAGACCGGGACCCAGCCTGTCTCCTCTGTATTAAAAACCAGTACCTGTACCTCCCTATCTTTCAATTTGATAATAATTCTTGCTTATTTCAATCCTGTCATATTGCTCCCGATCCTTTGTTCTTTCTTTGTGGAGAAAGGAGATTAGAACTTGCCTAGGGGAGAGTCAAATGGAATGGGAATAGTGTGAGAAGCCTCTATTTGTGAAGCAGTGCAGGGCCTCACAGGTGGGATGGTATGGAATAAAGGGAAACAACAGTCCAGTACATGGATTCCAATGACACATGGTGATGTGATGGAGGCACTATTGATATTTAAGGGGACATGTTCTACAGTTGGTGGGACGTGGCAGCCGGAGCCCACTGGGTTCAAATGGTGGCATAACATGGTTGTAAAGCTTGGAAAGAGACCCCCAGGTAAGTAGTGCCTGGATGAAGTAGGTAGGCATAGTGTCAGGACCCAACAATATGATAGGGAAGCATGGCATTCGAATACAGGAAAGTGGGCAGGGCTTTGGTGTGTGTGTGTGTGTGTGTGTGTGTGTGTGTGTGTGTGTGTAGGGAGGGTGGGGGCCTGGAGTACAATCCAGGAGAGTGTTCAAGGTTCTGGGGAGGAAGGAAGGCTGCAGTGTCGGGCTGGGGATACATTGGATTTTAACAGTACTGAGTAGACCCACCTGCCAGTGAGAGTGGGGTCAGTGGGGAGGAAGATTTTACAAAGGGAAATAATACAATCAGATCTTTACTTTGATTATATTTTTATCTGTTTTTAAGAAAAGTTTGAGAGGAAGGGAAGACTGCACACAGTGAGATTAGAAGGCTGCTGATAACTTCAAAGCATTGTCTGTCTCACCGTTATCCTTGTGAGACTTACTTTTCCAAGTATCTGTAGATGGACTACCCTTGCCAAATCTTTTAACACTCGCTATCTTTCTGTGTCATGCTTCTCCAATGAGATTGTAAACTTTGATGACTTTGGTGAGTTTAATTGTTTCATAGTATTAGGTTCATAATAAACAATCAGAAAAATACATGGGTGCTGTTCAGTGAAAAATAGAAAGTGTGGCAAATAAAGCATAGTGTGAGCATAGAGATGGAGGTATAGGATGTTTTACAGGGTACAGGTGCATCAACATGGAAAGGTAGATGGATTTCTATAACCAGGTATTATCAGGCGGGCACCTTTTTAAATCACAAGTGACACCAATTTAAGTGTAGTGTTTGAAAACTAGAGGGTGGGGCAAAAGTAGGTTTTAAGTTCTTTGTATGGAAAAAAACCACAGTAATAAATAATAATATAAACTCTGTGTTTCATGTGCTCGCAACTGTAAACCTACTTTCCCCCCACCCTGTATATCATTTTATAACTTCATTATTCAACTTGATTGTGTTTCATGTGTTATTTACAAACAGAATATATAGTTGGGCCATTTTTAGAATCCAGCCTATCTGTTAGTGTGTTGAATCCATTTGCACTTAAAATAGTTACTGAGATGGGTGGATTTCTGTCTACCATGTCAGTGCTTGATTTCTATTTGTCCCACCCACTCTGTCTCCCCTATTCCTTTTTTCTTGCCTGCTTTGGTTGATCTGAGATTATTTTTGCTTTAGTTACATTCTATGCGTTACAGTCTTCAACTCCCCAGTGTCAGAGTGATGCTTCCTTATAATCAGTATGAGGCCTGGAGCGCTGGAGGGTATCTTGCTGTCCTCCTGCAGGCTCAGGTGGCCCTGCGCACCTATTTCTTGGGGAGTGTGATCTCCTGCAGCGCCCCTGCCTCCTCCAGTGATGAGTGCCAGCTCCCAGCTCTCAGTGCCTGGCATGCGGAAGGCTTCTTTCATTACCTTTCTTCACCATCAGACTCAGGCCATGAACACTTGCACCACAGAGTCTCTTTTATTTCCTCTTTTCTGTCCCCAGTCTTCTTTGTGAGCTCTCAGTGAAGGCCAGGGAAGGAATTGGGTGGGTAATGTGATCTTTGTGCCTCAGTGTTTATCAATTAATTAAGCCTGGCCAGTGTGGCTCAGTGGTTGAGAATCGACCCATGAACCAGGAGGTCACGATTCTATTCCAGGTCCAGGCAGCAAAAAAAATAAAAATAAAAATTTCATCTATTTTCTTCTTACCCACACGTAGCTTCCTCCTCTTCTCACTGCTCTGCCAAAGGTAAGTCCTTTCATCAGAGACTTGTCACCTTTTGCATTTCAGTTCATTAGGTCACCCTGTGCTCTTAGATTCTTAATAGACTAAAAACGTTTTATGATTCTGTATATTATCCAGCTTATTCTCATTATTAGAGGGGAAGCAACATTTTCCTTTCACTTTCTGCATCCTAAGAAAATGTAGAACACAGATTATACATTTTCCATACTTAACATAACTGTTGGCACATAATTGGTGCTAAATAAGATATTTGTTAGTTGAATAATAGAAATAGTCTCATCTAATAATTGTAAGTTGTTGTTTCATTTCACCTGTGCTTAAATTTAGATGTTGTTTTGGAAAAAATAAACACTAAAAGATACATAAATAAACTCTAAACAGTAAAATAAATTCTAAAAATCACTCCATTGACTCTGGCCAGCTAGCTCAGTTAGTGCTGTCCTGATACACCAAGATTGTGGGTTTGATCCCCAGTCAGAGCACATACAAGAAACAAGCAATGAATGCATAAATAAGTGAAACAACTAAGTGATTCTCTCTCTCTCTCTCTCTCTCTCTCAAATCAATAAATAACACTCCATCATGTCATGTATTTAGATATGTAGAGGAAAAGGGAATTCTTCTGCTGTTCTGAATATTAGTACATAAGGGCAAAGAAGAAGTGAACCTTCTGCAAGGCAGGTCTTTGTGGTAATAAAAGATACTCTGAGATCTATTAATCTAAATATGACTATGAAATCTAATAAATAGCAAAAATCCTGGTATCTCCACAGTTCCTTTGTCATGGGTAATAAATCTTTCGGCCTTTTCCAGAGAGATCCTTGCCTATGCATAACCACAAAGACCCTTTCTTAGTTACACTTTATTTCTGGGTCTTGATAGAAATCTGTGGGGATAATTCCTATATAAACCTGATATTGATCTTTGATAACTGCACAGACATTCCTAAGTGTGAAGGAGAGGGATATGCAGTATTTAGAGGTCATCCAGCGGTTATATAATGGGTTAGTATCCCGTAAAATAACATCTGGAAGTGTAGTCAGGGGAAGTGACCACATCACTCTGCAGTGTATCTAGGCCAACAGCCTCACCCCTGAAATGCAGGCTGGTTGCCAGGGAGGGAGAAGATGGGTTTCTTTCTTCTTGTGACCAGAACAGCAAGACCTTCGTGTCCTGAAAAAGCAAAGACAGACTAAAATATCATGAAACAGACCCGGGATACTAGAAATAAAAAAGCTATTTCTTGTTGCCCTGAATCAATTACTTACTTACAGAGGTGGGCCCTGAGCAGAATTTGAAGGAACCTAGAACACAAAAATAAACTACTAAAAAACACAAGGAACTAAAGAGAATTCTGAGTTATAATGAAAGGGAACAAAAGAATATCCATTTGTCAGGACTGAATTTATTTAAACCTTCAAAGAGAAATTAATCACTAATGTATGCAGCCGTAATTAGTGAAATTAATCACTAATGTATAATGTCTTCATATATACATTTGTACATATACATATATGCATAAATGTGTGTGTGTGTGAGAGAGAGAGAGAAAAAGAGAGAGAGAGAAAAGAGAAATTGAGTATGAAAACCAATCGCTCAGAGAAATCTGAAGTTTTTCTCATGAACTTGCAAATGGAAACTGGAGCTGTGCCTGGAATAAAGATGAAACATTTTGACTGGATTAGACTTTTCTCCAGTGCAATTGTTAGGGTGAGAATTTGCAGCACGAGGTGCTTGCTCTGGGTGCCTGTGCCTCAGAGATATGTCAGCTCAGGCCTCATGTGTCCCTCTGGAGGTCCCTCTCAGTCTGATCCCGGGAATGCTAAACACCTGACTCATCTCTTCATGAACCTGAGTCTGTTTTATCCCGAGGTGTGGCACGCTGTCAGTGACTCAAGAACCAGTAATCTCACCGTGAGCTAGATTTTTGCCTCACAGGAGAAAAGCAGGAAAACTATATTTTCTGAAAAACCAGCATGTACGGTAATCTTGGTGTGAACCTTTTGGTTCAGGGCTGTGAAATGTTTATCCAGGTTATTTTGAGTTGCATGTACTTTTAATTTCTTTGCACATAATTATTTTTATTCTTACTAGCAATACTGAGAGCTAATCTTTATCTCATGAAAGTTTTCTCTATTTTATCATCTGAGTGATCTTTAAACAAACCAAATCTGTGTCAAATTATTTCTAAAACTGCATTGGTTAAACCAGGGGTGGGCAAACTTTTTGACTCGAGGGCCACGATGGGTTCTTAAACTGGACCGGAGGGCCGGAACAAAAGCATGGATGGAGTGTTTGTGTGAACTAATATAAATTCAAAGTAAACATCATTACATAAAAGGGTACGGTCTTTTTTTTTTTTAGTTTTATTCATCTCAAACGGGCTAGTTTGCCCACGGCTGGGTTAAACCCTTTGATTGCCTTTGTCTTTGGGTTAAAATTCAAACTGAGAGTTACTGTAACACAGAGGTTAAGAGCACACAAGCCCTCGAGTCAGACCGGCAAGCTTCAATTCCAGGTTCTAATACTTTCTCGTCTGCTATTTTAGTTTCCTCATCTGGCAAAGGGGTATAATGAGATCCTCCTCCTCCTACAGTTGTCAAGAATACTAAAAATAATAATTTACCACTTTAGCTGGTTTGGCTCAGTAGATACAGTGTCAGCCTGCAGACTGAAGGGTCCCAGTTTTATTCTGGTCAAGGGCACATACCTGGGTTACAGGCTCCTTCCCTTCAATGGAAAAATATCTTTGGTAACAACAACAAAAGATGATAATTTACCTTAAGCCTTAAATTCAGAAGTTGCCTGGCACACAGTAAGTGTTTGATGACTGCTAACTAATATTTCCATTAAGCCAGAACGCAAGGCCCTTTGTGTTGCAAACATACTTGACCTTTAATTTGCCTTGTGTTGGGAACTTGGCTAGATTCTTCCATACATGATTTTGTCCAATATTTAACAACAACCCTATTAGCTAGATATTACCCTTGTTTTCAGGCGCATCAAGTAGTTACATCATCATCACCACCATCATCATTATTATCATAATCATATTTTTCTTCATTATGTATTATTTTCTAGTTTTATAGAGAAGTAATCCCTTCAGATAGACCAGGGGTGGGGAACCTTTTTCTGCCAAGGGCCATTTGGATATTCATAATATCATTCCTAGGCCATACAAAATTATCAGCTTAAAAATTGACCTGCTATATTTGGTCAAACATTTCCTAGGCCTCATAAGGCCCAAGGGCTTGATATTCCCCACCTCTGATATAGATGAATAATTTAAATGAAGGACATCAACCTGGGAAGAGAGAGAGAGAGAGAGAGAGAGAGAGAGAGAGAGAGAGAGAGAGAGAGAGAGAGAGAGAGAGAGACTTGTAACAGGAGCAGAGGTAAGAAACAGGCAATTTAGGTTTCAAGTGTGGGTTTCTATGTTACAAAATCTGTATATTGCACCAAGTGCCCACCACCCAAAGCCAAATCTTCTCCTGTCACCCCAATTAATTTAATAAATAAATAAATATCTATTTTTTTTTAAATGAAAGAAACAGGCCATTCAGTTTTCTACTTCTACCTGCAATATCTTCTTGAGACACAGCAGCACTGGAATTTTTCTGAATTTGCCCTCTTTCATTATAATGCAACTAGAGGCACAGTGCACAAAAATCTTGCACTGGGGGGGGGGTCCCCTCAGCCCAGCCTGCACCCTCTTGCAGTCCAGGACCCCTCCCTCCTTACCATCCACCTGCTCCCTGCTCCTTACCACCCGGCTGGCTGCTCCTTAGTGTTGGCTTCTGGCTGAGTGGTGTGCACACTGACCACCAGGGGGCAGCTCCTGCATTGAGCATCTGCCCCCTGGTGGTCAGTGCTCATCATAGCGACCAGTCGTTCGGCCATTCAGTCGGATTTGCATATCATGCTTTTATTATATAGGATACCTTTTTTTGGCTCAAGCTACTGTTTCCTTGTAAGTTAAGAAGTCCTAATTGCTACTGTATGGGGGAATACAGAGAATTAAAGTCTCAGATGGGCCTGACCAGTATTTCTCAATGGTTTAGCATCAACCTATGAACCAGGAGGTCTCTGTTCAGTTCCCAGTTGGGGCACATGCCTGGGTTGTGGGCTTGATTTCCAGTGGGGGGCATGCAGGAGGTATTGTTGATGTTTCTGTCTCTCCCTCTCCCTTCCTCTCTGAAATTAATAAAAAATATTTTTTAAATATATTTTATTGATTTTTTACAGAGAGGAAGGGAGAGGGACAGAGAGTCAGAAACATCAATGGGAGAGAAACATCGATCAGCTGCCTCCTGCACACCTCCTACTGGGGATGTGCCCGCAACCAAGGTACATGCCCTTGACTGGAATCAAACCTGGGACCTTTCAGTCCATAGGCCAATGCTCTATCCACTAAGCTAAACCAGTTAGGGCAATAAAAAATATTTTTTAAAGAATTCTCAGATGGTATGATGGATGGTCTTTGAACAAAGAATTGGTTTGTTGTGTGTATACTAAGCCATTTGCTATATTGAATTTTTATGTGTTAAAGTAAAAGTAAATAGAATACATTCATTACATTAAGAAAATATGCATAAGTCAACCCCCATATCTTAACAATTTCTATCTATCTATCTATCTGTAGTCATACCTTATTTTATTGTGCTTCACAGGTGTCACCTTTCTGACAAATTGAAGGCAAGACTGTCCACCTGCAAAGTTATTAAGACTCACTTTATTGTGATACTCACTTCATTGCTGGGGTCTGGAACGAAACCCACAACTCCAAAGTATGCCGGTATCTGTCTATCCCTTTATCTGTACATATGAATATAAATAATTCTAGACTGATATTTTCTAATATTACTAATCATTTTTTTTTTTTTGGTGATGATACACTGTTATTTTACGTTCTTCTTTGTAATTTTATATTTGCACTGGATTTTCAATAGTGTAGAGATATTAAAAATAGTCACTTATTTAAAAAAGGAAGAAGGAAGGAAGAAGAGAGGGAAACAAGGAAGGAATAGAAAGGAAGGAAGGAAGAAAAGAAAAGAGAAAAGGTAGTTTATAAAGGTAGAATTCTGGGTCAGAAGTCACAGTTCTTCACACAGGTGACCTGCTCAATCTATCATAGCTTTGACTATTTCATTAACTGCCCTGAGACACTTTTCATTACTTGCCCAGGGACACTTGGGAAATTTACTACTTTTTATATATTGACTTATGTGTGACAAGAAAGTGTCAACATTCAGAATAACTTTAGTTTTTTAATACTGCTTCCTAGTGTAAGATTATGGAAGACATGTTTAGTAATAATTAAGGTTCCAAAGTTAAAAGTGGAAATTTAACCCTTGGCATATTAAAAGATGAGTGTCAGATAAAAAGTTATCTACACACACACACACACACACACACACCGAACTAAATTTGCATACCTGTAGACAATGACAGCTCTGTTATAATTTAGGCTAGTCCCTTTGGGTTTTGATTTGAAGGAGCATCTTGATTTCAAAAACATTAAAAGGTGGAGAGGATAAAGTGTGTCTTGAATCAAGACACTGTAATGTTTATTGTTTTTAGCAGAACGTAGGGCTAAACCATGAACTAAGGATGGCCATATAGATTGAAGTCTACCTTTTATCTAGGATTCTAATTGCCAATACTTTCTATGCATTCCCAGTATCTATAATTTATTGATAATTTAAATTCTTCATAGTAAATTAAACTACCTTGCTATATATATCATCAAAGAATAAGAACCCTACAAGATGTGTCATGAACTATTTACCAATTCATTAATATATGCTTTTCTATGTTAATTACTTAAAAATTGCCAATTTATATGAACCATATTTGGAAAAATTCCCTAGTTAAAGAAGGTATAATCAAATAAATTGAACTAGCAAAGTATTGAAATCAAGCAAGCTGAAGTCCTCCCTAAATATCATGCTTCCATTTCTATAGATAAAGCAACTATGACTTAAAGAATAGTTTTCTAAATTCATGGCAAAGTCAGGACCACAAGCCACACTTCCTGTCTTCTGCCCAAGGCCCTCTCCACTTTACCATCTTATTACAATGCATCTTATTCCTTGACCTGTAACAGATAACTAAACTTTTACAGTAAAAAAACTCAGCCTGTTATTGAGAGCAAATAATTATATAGTTGGTCAAAATGAGCTTATCATCCATAAGGTAACAGATGAGCAATCCATTCTGCCAGTAGGGCCAAGGGTCCCTGCCCCAGTCCTCCCTGGCTTATCTCTGAACCTGTTCCACACTTAGAGCTTACTGGCCAGACATACTCCTATGTGGATTGGGAAATAGAATAGATTAACTGGTTTAATTAAAATGACAACAAAAGCATTGTATGTATTATCAAAAAATATATATATTATTTTGGCCTAAAAGTTTCCTTCTGGGAGCCCAGGAGGGATTATTGTGGAATGTTCTGCATTCTAAAGGCTATGTTTGTTTTCAGTACATTTTAAGTGGAATATTTTTCACCCTTCTGAGTAGGGCAGACAAAGGCTTTAATTAAACAAACGTCACATGGGAACTCTTGCCCCAAAAGCCTTTATTGGCCCTAATTAGCAGATGCAGCTGTAGACTCTCTCAATATTAGATGGTCTGTTTATTGTGTCCATTTATATCCTACTCCTCAGGGAGCATGTGCAAGGCACCCCAGAATTATCAGGCTTAATTAAAACTCGCTCAATTGCTAGAGAAAATATCCCATGTAAAAATGGGTCAGGAAGAAGAGGAAGATTCAAAAAAAGAAGGAGACGTCTACTGGAACTATTACCAAGGCTTCTCTGGGAAAACAAAAGGATGATTTGATTGTCTGTAACCACCTGGGACAACACATACATTTCGGGGCCAGGCTGACTACCAGCCGTGGGCAAACTACGGCCCGCGGGCCGGATCCGGCCCGTTTGAAATGAATAAAACTAAAAAAAAAAAGACTGTACCCTTTTATGTAATGATGTTTACTTTGAATTTATATTAGTTCACACAAACACTCCATCCATGCTTTTGTTCCGGCCCTCCAGTCCAGTTTAAGAACCCATTGTGGCCCTCGAGTCAAAAAGTTTGCCCACCCCTGGACTATACGGACAGGGGAACCACTGAGGTAAAATGTTTCCCTCCTCTGTCCAGGCAGAGCTCCTGGGGGATCCCCAGGGGTCCCCTAGGTTTCATTTTAAGCAGACTGGGGAGAAGGAGCGGCACGTTTTGTTCATTTAGGCATGTGAATTGAATTCATCATTTAAGGAATTATACAACACTAGATCTGAAAGGCCCTAGAACAGTGGTTCTCAACCTTCTGGCCCTTTAAATACAGTTCCTCATGTTGTGACCCAACCATAAAATTATTTTCGTTGCTACTTCATAACTGTAATGTTGCTACTCTTATGAATCGTAATGTAAATATCTGATATGCAGGATGGTCTTAGGCGACTCCTGTGAAAGGGTCGTTCGACCGCCAAAGGAGTCGCGACCCACAGGTTGAGAACCGCTGCCCTAGAAGGTGACTTTATGTATCTCAGATACAATATTTAACAAAATTACTATTACTTCTTCAATTTTTTTGCTGTCCTTTTGTGTTTTTTGCATCTTCCAGATAAAACACCTGAGGCTGAAGAATACCAAGCCCTTTCCAAATGTCATACATAGGGCCAGTACATGATCGAATCAGCATCTAAACTTCTGTCTGTTCCCTTTTTGCACACTGCAGGGCTTCTCCTGTATTATTTATAAGAATTTAATATTGTGGCCAATAACTTGTTAATGTGGACAAATGAGCTGGCGCCTTGCAGACTGACACACTTGAGATTAAGCCCTTCTCCTTTTCTTAGCTTCTCTAAGCCTCAGTTTCTTCGTGCATCAGAGTAGGATGATAAATAATTCTTGAAAACTGGATTATGGGAGATCAGCTTTGTGAAAAGATTTTGGCTTTTGGAAAACACTTGATAAATACCATTTCACATCTTGTTTTTACTTAAAGTCCACCGTGACCTTATTTGGAAGACACTTTGAGGTGGAGAGTTCTTCATGTCTCTTTGGAGTGTCCTTGGGCTTGCTAACACAGAGGCCCATCCAAGGGTAAGATGTGTTGCCATTCACCCTTAGTGCGCTACAGAAATATAAGCCTCCTTTATTTGTTCTCCTTCCCAGGGAAACCATTGTTTGGGATGTCTCTCTTCAGTATAAAATTTGTAAAATGTGAAATAGACAGTGACCAGACAATAATGGGAAAGCGGTAACAGTTTAGAATAGACTGTTTGAAATGTCCCAGTGAAGCCCCCCCAACCCCCTCCGTAAACACAGAGCAGAATCAGCTTGTGTCTCTCTGTGGTTTGAATGCTCCAACATAAATTGAAATGCTTCTTTACATCTATAAAGGATATAGTTTTAGCTTTAAAAATAGCCAATTTTGTAATCCTTAGTATATGTGTTTTCTTAATTGAAAGTCATTAAATTAAGTCTACTCCCCCGCCCCCCGACCTTTGAAGTCATTCATTTCCCATCTGTGCTCCAGAAAGGTGTTCTTCCTTTATTTTGGGGTCCCTCGTGCCTCCCTGTGACATCCCTAAGAACTCCTGGGGAATTCTGGCATACCAGCCTAAGAATTACATGTCTGGGAAGTATTTTAACCAAGATAGAAGTAAGCCAAATCATGATTTTTGCTGTCTGAAAATTATTTCTGAAGTGATTGTCATGAAAATAAATTCCCTTTTGGCATTAGACCTAACATTCTGATAGTGGTCCTTAGGAGGGCAATTATTTCTAGATGAGGACAACAGAGAGGCAAGAGGAAAATAATTTAGGTTCTGCACCAACTATGCATTTTCCTATAAATGTTACTGCCTATATGTTGGAATATTAAGTATATAAAAAAAACCTCAGTTAATTTACTATTCAAATGAAAGCAAGATTTAATGAGACATCACAACACATCGTAGTCTGGGTTCTCCCAGTTTTATAATCTATTCCATTTTCAGGGTTACTTTTAATGTGGATCCTATGGTACGTTGCTCAGATCCCGAAGCTCGCAGTCTCCCAGTTTCCCCAGCTGCACTGAGTATTGCCTGATTAGGGCTCCCAGATTAGGCTTGCCTCCCTTGCCACAATCCCAAACATCCCCAAGGCTGTCCCAGCTCCAGAGCTCCCAGACAAATTGGTTCTGTTATTATTGCATCACAAGTCAAATTTTCTTCTTATGCAATCAGGCTTTCCATATGCCTTCGCAGATGCTGTTCCTGCAAAAAAAGAAGGAAAAAAAAAGTTTCCCCTAAGGGCTGTTTACTGGGGAACCCAGCCTATGACAGCTTCTCACACTACTGAGTTAATGCCTTCATTTCTGCCTTCACAGTGGTTTCCCACGTTTCATTAGGACCATATCTGAATTTAAATGTGAAAATCAAGTAACAACTATGTGAATCTGAGACATCATTGGTACATGCATCGGTATCTATAGTCAGCAAAGTGCTATTTCTAATTCAATTAGTTTCAGTGAGAGCATCTAGCTGAGAGGCACATAGCTGCTTGCATTTACATATTTAATCTTTTTTGCTTTTCACAGCAACCATGTGGTATAAACATCATACATGGTTAGGAAAGAAATAAATTGAGATTTATTCACTTGGTTAAAGTAATAATGTTAGTACACTGTGGAAACAGACGTTGAACCCAGGTCCTCTTTCACTAATTTTAGCAGTTGCGAATGTTTGTGCTGTTCACAAATATTTCCAACTCTCTGTCTTTTGAGCACACAGCAGAATTGCACCTCCCCTTGGAATACTAAGCATGGCCATGCCACTGGCTTTGGCTAATGAAATGGGAGAAAAGCTGGTAACTTCTTGCTTCGCTTCCCTCCCTTGCCACAGGGAGCAGTGAAGTGCCAGATTGTAGTGGCTTTGCCAGCTTGCGTCCCTGAATGAAGACAACATGGCACAGAACCCTTAGCACAACCCAAGACAGGCATGAGGGTAAGTGAAAATGAATCTGAATTGTTTCAAGTCATTGTTCTCCAGGGTTTGTCTGTTATCACCTCATACTCTAACTACCACGATTGATAAATTGTGACTAAAGAGTAGTTTTTTTTCCTTTTATTATTTTTTTAAAGGCTCCATTTTTAAAATTCTTTAAAATTGATTTTAGAGAGAGAGGAAAGGAGAGGGAGAGAGAGAGAAAAAAAACATCAATGTGAGAGTAAAACATTGATTGGCTGCCTCCTGCACGCCCCCTACTGGGGATCATGCCTTCAACCCAGACATCAGGTTGTTTTTCAACTAAGATATATTAAAAGAGAATTGCGATTTTTGCTAAAACTAAAATATCCTTAACACTAGAATTTATTTTTTAATGCAACTTAATTGAAAGGGGTTTGGTTTTACAACCATGTAGATATAAATAAATTTGAATCTGTGATTTAACATACTTGTTTAATGACCTTAGGTTTTAATTTCTTTCTCAGCCCCCATTTACTCATCTGTAAAATAAAGCTAGTAATAATGTGCTATAGCATTGATGTGATGGTTTGATAAAATAAGGCCTGCAAAGCTTTTAGCAAATTGCCTAACAGAGATGATACCAAATAAGTGTTTTGCAGAAAGTGGTCCTCTAATCCTCTGGATCTGAAAGTCGTTAAAAAATACAGATTTCTGAGACCCATACCAGACCTCAGGATGTGATTTAACAAACTCCTTTAGCCATTCTTCACTGAGATTTGAAAGTAACTGTACTAAACAAATGTTAAATATTTCTGTCATATATATATATGGTTCAGACGGCCAGAAAGCCTTCAGTGAGATTCTTCAAATGATCTTAGAACTACCAGTGGAAGCATCACCCACTGCACAGTAGATGCGTCAGAATGAGCTCAGCAGAGGATATGGGGAATGCAATGCACACTCGAAAGCATTAACATCTAAAAGGAAAGCCTCTGTGAATTCTTTGTATCTCTAAGTATCACATGAACAGTGCAATTTGACTATGGTGATCTTAGCTGTTGAGAATTGGGGTGGGGGGTGGGCATTTGGGACTTGAAGACCAGCTGAAATCAGAGGCCTGTGAAATGGGGGTAATGGCCAGATAAGGCAAGGATACAAGGATACATCAATTAGAAACTCCAATGAGTAAACAGTTACAACTCCTGAAATGAAGAGTAACCTTGGGGCTTTGTGTTCCCCTCCCAACCCCCGTGTCACCAAGTCAGCATTTTCTACTTCTCTCTTCCTGAATTTGTGTTTATGTATGCCTATGACCTTGTAGGCCCCAAAAGGAAAGTTTCCTTAGCCTGTTTGCCTCAGTGGATAGAGCATCGGACCGTGGACTGAAGGGTCCTGGATTCAATTCTAGACAAGGGTACATACATCTGTTGCAGGTTCAAGTTCCAGTCCTGGTTGAGGCTCATGTGGGAGGCAACCAGCCGATGTTTCTTTTTCTCTGTCTCTCCCCCTCCCTTCCACTCTCTGTAAAAAAATCAATGGAAAAATATCCTCAAGTAAGGCTTAACAATAAAATAAAAAGGAAAGTTGAAAATAACCAAGAGAGAAGAAGCTGACTCCATTTCCAGTGAAGCAATTAGGCTTTCTCATTTAAAAACAGAAAAGTAAAGAGCACTTTTGGCTTTTAGTTTTGTAGCTTGCGGGAGGAGAGGAGGAACCCATATCCACTAGGATCTCGGAGTAAAGGGCAGGGGGAGTGCAGGTCAGAGCTGGGCCCGCTGGCCTAAGACCACTGTTTGAAGAAGTACTTAGTCTTGGGTTAACTGTGAGGGCCTGGAGTCCCCTAAGAGCCACCCTTCTGGGCAGAGAGCTGGACAAGGACACTCCACTGCAGTTTAGAGCTGAAGAGGTAGGGCGGCCACTGCTCCTTCCAGGCATCACACAGCCTCAAGGAGCAAGGGCAGCAGAGACACACACCCAGTGATCTTGCTTCCTCCTGCTTAAGATTGTGATGCTCAGTAGACCTATTTCAGGTCAGTAGAAGTCCCACCTCACTCCTGTCCTGCCAGGTGGTTCTTGTAACATAAGAGGGAAGAGAGAAAGGAACTCCTCCAAATAACTGATAATGGGTGGGCGGGGGAGACTTGAGTGAATCCTATATAATAAAAGCCTAATATGCTAAATGTCCAATCAACTGGTCGGCCATTCAACCAATCAAAGCGTAATATGCTAATGATATGCTAAGGCTGCTCAACTGCTCACTATGACATGCACTGACTACTAGGGGGCAGTCGACCAGTCGCTATGATGTGCACTGACCACCAGGGAGCAGATGCTCCAACTGGTGGGTTAGCTTGCTGCTGGAATCCGGCCGAGTGGGACTGAGCGAGAAGGGCCGGACACACCCTAGAGCCCTCCAGTGGTTCCTCCCAGGCTGACCGACTTCCCATGTCTCTCCCCAGACCTGATCATGCACCAGTGGGGTCCCTTGGCCTGGCCTGCACCCTCTCACAATCTGGGACCCCTTGGGGGATGGTGGAGAGCTGGTTTCAACCCAACCCGACAGGCCAGGCCGAGGGACCCGACTGGTGCACAAATTCATGCACAAGGCCTCTAGTCTTAAATAAAATTGAGAAATGTAAATACATGTGATATCACTGCATTAGGAATATTGAGAAGTTTGAGCTTGTGTTCTAATCTTGTCACACTTGCCTAAGGTGGCAGACTCCCAGGCTTTGATTTCTGCCAGAAACTAGAACAGAATATAGCAGGTTCTAGAATAATGTCTTTTCATTCAATGTCATTTTGTTATAACATTGGTCAGATGCCTAGGAACTTAAGTGTTGTTTATATCAATTAGCCTATGGTAAAATTGCTTTCATGATCCATCATTTCCCTTCATGTCTCAGAACCTATTCATGACTTGAAGTGAGTACTGCCTGTGCAAATATAAGGCAAGACTGTTCCATTCTGACTTAGCATTGCTTGGGGGAAGTCAATTGCTACAGTCATCTTTTCTCCAATTCCAGAGAATGTAGGAAGTAAGAATGGGGCTCAGATTTGCCTTCACTTGCTTTCCTCTGCTGCCTTTGTGGGAGCCAAATCTGAAATCTCCCATCGCTTTTACCTCTGTGAGTGAACTGGATTTTCATTTAGAGTTATGTTCAGTCATTATAAGCATTTGTGAATATCAGTTGTCCTTTATTCTTCCATGAACTACCGCCTGGAGCAGAGGCCGTTGATTGCCCCATTCTTCATCCTTGCCTCTTTCTGACACTCCCCTTTCTAGGACATGCCTCTGCAGGTCTACCCAAACACCCTGAGATTCTCACCTGAGGACATTCTCTAGGCCCCAACAGGCTGAAAGTGCTAGGAGTTGGTGCACCAGGAAGCAGCCCTAAGCCAAAAAGAAATAAGAATAATCAGATAAACATACATCTTCCTTATCTGTGAGGATGGGAGGTGAATAATTCTGTGTCATGTTCTACATCGTGTCTTTGGGATTAGGCCTAGTTGCCTCCAATATTGCTTGATACAATATACTTTAAAGGCTTTTCCCCATTTCTTGTTTCCTGGCTCCACTTTTGTATTGGTGATTCCTGAATCACGTCCCAAATATCTTATTTGCACACAACTATTCATCTTAGTGGCATCCTCGGGGAATATCCAACCAGAGACACCTTGGAATAGGAAAGAGATGTGATGAATACTTAATGGGTGACTAGGATGGAAATTTAAAAGCTTTAATGTAGCCATAAGGTGATGGTTGTCCCACCAAAGGAGGCTTCCAGCTACCCTCCAAAACACCCTGGCCAGGGGATATGTATTGTCTTGATGAATTATCTCCACCCTGAGGGCTTGCCGATCTTGTCAACACAAAGAGCAGATGTATCCCTTGAGCAGGGTCATATCTACAAAGCTCATAGAACTGAGATCCAAAACTCAAATACCAGTTTATGAATTTACCATAAGAAGTAATGACCACAGGGACTGGAACACTCGACCTCTACGTGACCACTGTATACTGTTGCTAGAGGCTGACCTACATGGAATTCTAAATAAACAGCAGAGGTGGCATAGGTAGCATGTAATTGCTGCAAGGGAAGCCAGGGGTACCCAAGGCATTAGTTTTAAACACTCTGATCCTCACATCTGCAAGTAAGGGTAATAGTGCCTATGAAAACAAAAAGCTAACACTCCTTTGCAGGAAATCCCTCCAACCTTCCACCTTGGAGATCCTTCGTGCATAGGACTTGGAGATTATGGGCTTTGCAAATGCTTCCATGTGGAATGCCTCTGAGATTCCCAATAAGTCCTTCAGAGCCTCACATTCTTTCTTTAAATGTTAATAAATTCCATCAGACTCAAACCAGTTTTGCTGAACTGTAAACTATTCAGACTTATGCATTGATTTTGCATATATTGCAAAATTTCCAAGGGGCAATCTCATTTCCCTAGTTTTTAGTTTTGGAAGGGCTAACAAACTACAGCACCCACTTATGAATATCATCTATATATCCAGAGTGCATTTCCTTTGTTCTCACGACCAGTCTTTGAAGTGGATGTTGTTGTTTTTATTTTCCTCACAGGGAAACAGAAATTTGGGTAGGTCTAGTTATTGTCCAAGGATAGAACTCGAGTTCAAGGCTGGGTTTGTCTATGGTTATAACTCCTGGTCTTTCTTTGTCTTGCTACTGAAAAGTTGTGAATGGTATCAAGCTTCTGTATACAATATTGATATGAATACAGGCTTTTACAACTAGCACAAAATTTGAGAAATCCTAAGGGTCCATCTAACTCTAAAAGTGTATGATTTTTTAAAAATGTACCTGGCTTTGTTAACCCTCAGAATGAAGACCTTTTTTCCTAAATAATTCTGACAAAAATTACTGCTCTTGCTTATTCAGGGGCAAGAAGTTGTGTCTGAGTTATCTTTGTAATTGCCTCACTTTTTTACTTCACTGACCTTAGGATCATGTTATTCATTCCTGTTACTCACCAAGTCTCTTTACTAATGCACATTGCATCTGGTATAGATG